CCTGTCTAAAAGTTCCATCAAAAGTCAACCATCAAAATTTAGGTCAATCTGAGGTCGCCAAATTTCATTATAACGTATTCCCAGCGTATAAATCGATACATTTAACCGAACGGACATTCAGCCGAAAATGTACTTACATGTATATCACACTCTTTATCGTAATGTGATACATAAATTTATATTTATTTACTGTATTAATTTTTCATTTTTTTTACAGGCTTTTATTTAAAATCTATTCTATATATATTATATTTTACTTGAAATGTTACTGTAAGATGATAAGTATTTTGTGAAAAAGTATATATGATATGTCCCGGAAAGGGATATATTTGTTGTAAGTAGCAAAGTGGTTGTTCGCTACTGTAACCGGGTAGGACAATCTAGCAGGTAACCGCAATGGACTGGTCCTCGTTGTAGTGGTAGGCAATAGGTGAAGACAATAGGCGTCGTCCATGTACCTCGACATCAGTCTGCATTTATGACCGACACCAACCAATCATATTACTGTGAGGGGGAACCCAGGTGTATGCATATTCATTACATCAGTATATTTTACTACTGAAAAAATCTTAAGCTTTTACGATATGAAAGATCTTTCAATTTCGCTTTTAATGATCATTATCTTAAAAGGGATGAACTAGCTTTTATCTTACTGTTAATTACGAATTTAAATAATTAGGTGCTACTTTTTACTCAAATACACACATATAATTTTTAAAATATTAATTTCAATAAAGGAATATTGAAATAAAAAAATTAACTTTAAATTTAGATTTAGTAATTGAATCACTTGAAATTCATTAGTAATTATTAGTCATATTCTAAGTTATATTACTACTAATTAAAATACTTATTGCTTGTTACTATTTTTACTTGTACTTTTTCGGTGAAATGTCCGTCGACCAAATGTCTCTCTGTCAAATGCCCAGCTAGGATAGAATGCGAAGCAAGACTTAGAGCGGAAATAGAATAGGAACTGATGCGATATTTATACCCAGAATAAATATATATATATATATATATATATATATATATATATATATATATATATAAGGTGTTACAGCAAAATGTGACACTTGACAAAAAGAACACGAAATAGGCAATGGAAACAAAAGCTGTATAGTCAGAGACCCGACAGTTTCTTTAGCAACAGTTAGAGTTACATACTATATTATTTTTCAATGTAACCACTGGCGGCAGCGGCGATGACCATCTCAAGGCGGGCGCGAAATGAGACACACGCTTTGGCGACCATGTCCTTGTACATAGCGGCGAACGCCTCCACGAATGCAACCTTCAGAGAGTCGACTGTGTTGTGGTCATGCTCGTTCATCTAGGCCTCGATCACGCCCCAGAAGAAATAGAAATTGTAATATACATATATAATCATGAAATAATAACGAAAAATGAAATTTGTGCTCATTATAAATACAATTTACAGTTAATAACTGATTCTTGAATTTCCCCTTATTCTGTTGGTATAGTTTGACAAAGGGTACACATCCTACGCATGCCCCACCCAAATATTACCATGCTCCACCGGTGGGGCATGCGTGCACGTTGGGAATCATTGTAGTAAAGGAAAGCGAGATGAAAGGACTAAACATCAATTGCAAGAAGACAAAATGGTTGCTAGCAAAAGGAACATGCAAATTACAAATTAGGGACGCCAAAACAAGTGTAATAATTCAAATGTCTATGAAGTGTTTTAGCTTAGGACGGATAGCTCGACACCGAATGTAATAGCAAAAGATGCCTTCCAAAAGCTAAGCAATGTATTAAGAAACAGGCAATCTTCATTGGAAACTAAGAAAACAGTACTGAACTAGTAGTCCTTCGATATGGTAGTGAATACCAGACAATCACATGAGAAATTGAGAAGAGACCTGATACAACATAAATGTTGCTCTTCAGGAGGATGCTGAGAATACCATGGCCTGAACACATGAGCAAAGACGAAGTTTTAGAGAAAATGGAAATAAAAAGGCGATTTATACTTACCAAGAGGAGACAGTTGAAATTTATGCGGTGGATAATGAAGAAAGAAGGCTTGGAAAATTTAATACGTACAGGATAAATTTAATGATAGGGGCAGTATATAATATGCCTAATTAGTTTGCATAAAGACTTAGCAGGACAGTGATTAAGAGATATTGCAAGAAGACAAACTTTACTAAGTGCTACAAAGAACAGGAAAATGTGGAGAGCTATGATTACCGAATGTCTGGAGGCACACGACACATGAAAGAAGAAGAATCGATGCGCAATATCTCTTTCAATGTCTCTTTAAATAATCATCAAAGGGTTGATCAACCGTAAAAAAAAAGAAGTCTGTTTTTCAAGGATAAAATTTATAAAATCATTTTCGAATTTCGAAGGTTCATTTTCACTCCCTTGTCACTAACATCATGACGATGATGATAATGATGATGATGATGATCATCATCATCATCATCATCATCATCATCATCATCATCAGAACCACCACAATCACCATCATCATCGTCATCATCGTCGTCGTTGTGGTCGTCATTGTCATCATAACCAGCATCATCATCATCATCATTAACAAATGCATAAGCACCACGATCATCATACACATCATCATCACTATCGCCACCGTCGTCGTCGTCGTCGTCTTCATCGTCATCATCATCATCATCATCATTGTCGTCATCGTAATTACCACAAGCATCATCGTCATTTTTTTCGTCATCATCAGCAGCAGTACCACCATCACCACCGTCGTCGCCGTCCTCATCGTCGTCATCATCATCATTGTCGTCATCGGCATCATCATCATCATCATCATCAACATCACCGCAATTACCACAATCATCAAAATCGTCGGTGTGGTCGTCATTAGCAGCAGTACCACTATGACCACTGTCGTCATCGTCGTCATCGTCATCGACATCGGCTTCGGCATCATAATTATCATCATCATCACCACCGCCATTAACACAATCATCATCAGCGTCGTTGTTGTCGTCATCAGCAGCAGCAGTACCACCATCACCGCCGTCGTCGTCATCAGCAGCAGCAGTAGCAACATCACCGCCGTCGTCGTCGTCCACGTCGTCATCATCATCACCATCATGGTTGTCGACATGGTGATCATCAACATCGTCATCACCACCACTACTACCACAATCATTATCATCATCGTCGTCCTCCTCTTTATCATCATCATCATCATCATTAACAAATGCATAAGTACCACGATCATCATACACATCATCATCACTATCGCCATCGTCGTCGTCATCATCATCATCATCATCATTGTCGTCATCGTAATCGGCATCATCATCAGCAGCAGTAGCAGCAGCACCACCGCCATTACCACAATCATCATCATCAGCAGCAGCACTACCGCCATTACCACAATCATCATCACTATCGCCATCGTCGTCGTCGTTCACATCGTCATCATCATCATCATCATTGTCGTCATCGTAATCGGCATCGGCATCATCATCATCATCACCACCGACATTACCACAATCATCATCATCATCGTCGTTGTTTTCGTCATCAGCAGCAGCAGTGCCACCATCACCGACGTCGTCATCATCATCACCATCATCATTGCCGTCATGGTGATCATCATCATCATCGTCATCACCACCACCACTACCACAATCATCATCATCGTCGTCCTCGTCGTCGTCATCATCATTATCATAGTCTTCAGGCTTTAAACCTAACCGGAAATTTTCGTTAGTGTTCTGGTCCGGTTCCTTGAACCACGGTGATAGTCCAAGGTAGAACCAATAAAGAAGAACTCGAACACGGATATGCAATAACACAGATATATTACAAACAGGAAGATATACAGAGAAGTAGAAAGTGTTAGTACGAACAATAAGGTTTAGTAGTAATTGGCTGAACGCGACTCTGTTTCGGACTGCCTCTGACTCGACTGACTAACTCACTCTGACTGACAGACTTCTGACGGACTTCACTCCAGACTACAGACTGAACTCCCTGCTTCCTCTTGAGGCGCAGTATTTATTACGTATGTAATAGCCCATCATGTTGTTGTGGGTAAGGTCCCCTAACAGTTAGAAACAAATAAAAGTGGGCTGAGTTGTTATGTATTACGTGTCCTTCTATATGGCAATGAATGTCCTCAGGGATAAAGAACTATGACTACAAAATTCAAGAAGTTGTGGAGAGCCATGTCGATCAACTTCCTGAAAGAACACGATACATGGAAGAGGGAGAATCTGTACGTAATATAATATAATGATATTATGTCTCTTCGGGATATTGGCAGTCAAGACTCTCCAAAGATTATCTTTTGATGTGGGAAAGATAATATCACATTTGGTTTGATAAAAAAACGTACATTTTTTTAAAATTAACGATACAATAAAACAGGGACAAAATGGAATTTTGTTTTTGTTTTTATTTTTGGTTTTAAAAAAGACAAATGTCTTAGAAATGAGAAGCTAAATGCTCGCGTGAGTAAAGGATTTGCATGTTGAGCTGATGTCAAGAAAATGGGATGATGATGAGGCTGAGAAAATTTATCACAGAAAATTTGAATGACGTTGCAGTGAATATGGGTAGGAACCATGGTGGAAAAAGAGTTTCGAAAAAAGGGACGAAGAGAGTGATCAGTACGAGGAAAGAAAGAGAGAAGGAACAAACAATGAAGAAGAAAGGAAAAAAATAATGGACGGTGAAAAAAAAGAAAAGAAAGTAAGAAACACAAATAAAGATGGCGGGGTGGAATAAACAGTGAAGGAGAAACATTGCGAGATTAAAAGAAAGTCAAGAATGAAGCAAAGATATGGCAAAATGAGAAAATAAGGAAAGGAAAATCAGGAAAGAATAGGAGAAAAAAAGGAAGAAAGAAAACAGAAGAATGGGAATTAAAAAGAGAAGAAAAAGAAAAAGAAAAGACAAAAAATAAGAAAGGATCTAGGAAAAAAAGAAAGAAAAAAGGAGAGAAAAAGCCGATAAAAAGAAAGAAAAAGTATGCGATATGA